CTCAAAGATAATTGAAAGAAGGAGCTACTGGAGCAGTTAATAAAAAGAAAGAGTTTTTACCTAATTTTCTCATCAATTTCTTTCCAACTTTATGCATCTTGACTTTTGTGTTTTAATTTAAGTTTGTAATAATTACGAATTATTATAACCGAAAACCGAGGATAATTAATTCAAACTACTTGTGAATATGTCTCTAACAATAGCAATTCTCAAAAATAATTAGGAGAAGGAGCTATTATTATAGAGCAGTTATAATTAATAAAAAGAAAGCTTTTACCTAGTTTTCTCATTAATTTCTTTATACATCTCGATTTTGTGTTTTAATCTAAATTTGTAAGACCTAATTATGAATTATTAAAGAAAACTGAAGGCAATATAATATGAATCCAATGGTTCTGCACCGCGTTCTGCAACGCGGCTTGATCATGATTACCTTGTCGCAACGTGATCATGGCTTTTACCGATTGGGGATAGTGATATGATATCACAAGATCCTCCTTTACTTTTACCCATATTTGTGGTATTCATTCGGCAAAAAAAAACCGAATCGTCAAGCGGATTAAACTCGTATATATAAAGCTGTTTATTATCTGTTATCACTCTTCACATTTCGATGTTTATCATTACGTTTGCACCCGTTCGATCGATTGGATCGGCACGTTTGATTGAGATACTGATCGCGATCGTGCGCGTCGATACGCGAATTACAATGCTGAGTAAGTGATCGCAATGATCGCACAGAGGGAGAGAGGAAAAAAATCCTCCGCAACTCCATAATTGTACGCCATTAAACGTTGGGCAAGTAATTGACAAACACTGATATGCAAACGATCGACTCGCAACAACGACAGGTAGAAAAGCTCTTTAATTATTAGTCTTTTTCACAGTTTCTTTCCGTAATAACGCACATTTTAATAAATACAATTACGAGTTTAACTTAACAGAGCTTGACTGTACTTTCAAAAAATTGTCGATTAAAATATACTGCAGGGAGAATATCTCGATAGGAAATAAAACTTTCGTTTTCGTAACTTAATAAAAATTTCGATTCAGATTTCATACTTTACGGGGAAATATTAATTGAAAAAGTCAGTAAAGTGCAAATTCAAATTTCGGAGTCTGAATCAATTTCGTTTTCATCGTTTAGGTACATCGAAGAATTTTATTGCAAAAATATTCTGCATTTTTTCGTTCTTCATGTTTTGTTCAATCATGTGATTCCGAGTTATTGATAGCTATAAAAATTGATTTATAAAGGATCCAGTTGTATTTTAGTATGGGCTATTCCACGTGAAGCGGATCAGTCATCTCTCAGAAATTTTGCACAAAGGTAGTATTTTGGGAGATAGAATTTTGTGCCAAAGGATTTTTTTCTTATTGCAAAATTAATTGAGATATAAATAATTAAAAATTAGACTACTTTATTTTTCAAAAATTTATAGCTCTGTTATTAATAATGCTAGCTAACTGCTTTTTTTTTTTAATACGCAAAAAATGTTCTAGTTTACGGGGAAAAAATGAATATTCCAAAAATGTTTTGTTTTGCATTGTTTATTTAACAATAAACTTTTCAACAATTTTTTTAACAATCGGGGAGAGAGTCGAAAAATCTGAAAAAATATTTTTTATGTACTTTCAGTTTTCCTACATCTTAGAAAGAAAACTCAAGAACGTGTTTTGCCTCGTTTTCGAAAAAAAAATTTTTTTAGTTCTTGATGTGGGGAAAATCTGTCGACTCTCAGCGTGCGACTCTTACAAAACAGCCAAACTTACAAAATATCCCTACCATACTGCTAGTATGTTGTTCGCAGCCGATGTTTTGTATTGACTGGAAAGTCAATACTTTATAAAATCGACTTTACAATATTTAACTCTCTAAACAATTTTATCATTTATTCCGACGATTTCGACCTCTCGCTTGCATTTTATTTTATTACAGTCTGCTGTACAGTAAATACCTAATCTTGCATTATAATTATTATCAAGTATTTTGTTGCATTATAATTATATTATGTAATTATATTTTGTTGTATTATAATTATATTATAATACAACAAAATACTTGATAATAATTATAACAAAAGATCAGGTACTTACTGTACAGCAGACTGTAATAAAAAAAACGCAAGTGAGAAATCGTCGGAATAAATGATAAAATTGTTTGAAGAATTAAATATTGTAAAGTCGATTTTATTTAGTAAGTCTTATAAGACTAAGTAAGTTTTATTTATTACTAGCAGTATGGTAGGGATATTTTGTAAATTTGGCTGTTTTGTAAAAGTCGCACGCTGAGAATCGACAGAATTTCATCACATCAAGAACTAAAAAAATTTTTTTCTCGAAAACGAGGCAAAACACGTTCTTGAGTTTTCTTTCTAAGATGTAGGAAAACTGAAAGTATATAAAAAATATTTTTTCAGATTTTTCGACTCTCTCCTCGATTGTTAAAAAAATTGTTGAAATGTTTATTGTTAAATAAACAATGCAAAACAAAACATTTTTGGAATCTTCATTTTTTTCCCGTAAACTAGAACATTTTTCGCGTATTTTAAAAAGACAAGCAGTTAGCTAGCATTATTAGTAATAGAGCTATGAATTTTTGAAAAATAAAGTAGTCTAATTTTTAATTGTTTATATCTCGATTAATTTTGCAATAAGAAAAAAATCCTTTGGCCCAAAATTCTACCTCCAAAGTACTACCTTTGTGCAAAATTTAAAAAATTTCTGAGAGATGACTGATCCGCTTCACGTGGAATAGCCCGTATATAAAAAATTTGATACAAAATTAGTTGCGCTAATCTTTTATGCTGTTTCTTGTAATATAAAAAAAATACTTAGAATATCATATGTTATAAATATAAAGCTTGTCGTATTTATTTAATCTTAACAAAGCTTAAGCACGCTCGATTTTTTTTCTCTGTTTCTATTATAAATAGAGCTGTAACACATGGAAGGGGACAGGCAATTACTACTCTAGGTTCATTTCTTTGAAATCACTGATGTGTTTATAGGGCGTAACATTAAGCTGCCGGCGTTTTTCCGTCGCGCTTACATTCCGCTTGCACGATTCATATTTTTCTATCCAATGAACACACACACACACACACACACACACACACACACACTCTCTCTCTCTCTCTCTCTCTCTCTCTATCTCTATCTCTATCTATTTATCTATCTCTCTGAAAGCGAAATAAAAAATTGGATGGGATCAAACCACGATATTTTCAATCGACACATTTTCTCCACGCCTCGCAATCGAGAGTATGATTATCGCGCAGCGCGCGCACGCCGTTTCTAAATGCCACATTTGTTTACTGAGTAACAGGGCCGGTTTCATCAAGGCTCTTGGAATTGTATGATATGCGTTATTCCATAATAATTCATAAAAGTAAAATAATACTCATCTCTTCATGTGTATATTGATAATATTTTAATGTAACGGTTCATAATGGACAACGACAAATTATAATTTGCACAAATATGATTCTAATCTGATTCAATGTGACAGAACCGGATATCAGTATCATTAAAACTCCACTTATATAATTGCGCGTATCAGAAACGCATGAAAGACGTATATACTTACTTCTACGCTATAATTAAAATAAACTATAAATACCTATTATTTTGACGTCAAACAGAACAATTTAAACGGAACGTTAATGAGGTTTATGGCGTAACACTGAGCGCAACGTGATATAAAAGTTATTTTATTGCGAGATCTCTTGCACTTATTGTTAGTTAAATATCTGCTGTATATATATATATATATATATATATATATATATATATCGTATGTGCTGTACGTTTTATATAAAGAAACGATCTTTATATAAAGAAATATATCTATTTTACGGCGTTTTCTATCTATAAGTCGAAGCTTCATTGAATCGAAATTGAGCGAAATGGCCTAAAACAGCAGCCCTGTTCATGGATCAAACACAGTAAGAGCACTGTATGTACTAACGGCACTGTCGCTTATCGTTCAGTAAAGCCGCACCTGTGCGACCATGACACGAACATTTAACGAACAATCTTTCTTCTAACGAACTGTCCTCGCGTCATGAGAAACGCGACGAAAGTCTCAAACACGAACACGGAGAAGACATCACCTGTGCCGATGAAGAGGCATTGAAGTCACTATGCGGTGGCCGAATCGCGCAGCAAGTTTCTTTTTTTGTTCTGTACTCCCCCGTTGTTTTGAATTTAAAATATGTATCCGCGATGTCGCGTGTCCTATTTACTCCATATTACGAGAAGGCTGTATATATACATCAGAGATAAATAGATAAAGTATTTAGCACTGAAGAAGCGCGGCGAGAATGTAAATGTATGGTATTACAGACCATGTATGGTATTCAACGAAAAATATGATTATTCGCTATTAAAAATAGTTTAATTTGAAATTCTCTCAAAAATTTATTAGAATTATTAGGAAAATATGTTTCGCCCAAGATGTAAAACATAAAAGAAAAAAGAAAACATACTGATATAAATAAATCTCATTCCTTGATTTTCTTCAATTTTTCTTATTGCATTCTTAAATCATAATCATACAAAAAATGAATTTCACTGTTGCTTTATGGAATTTTTCTGAAAAGAATCGACAAATGTTTCTTAAAATTTAAAATTCTTACAGATCCTAAATATTCTTACTTATGATAATAATTATATTATATAATAATAATAAAAATTAGTAAATAAATTAATGATATAATAAAAATTAGATTCACACGCGATAAATTTCTAAACAACACTATATATATATATATATATATATATATATATATATATACTTTAAATAATTAATTAAACAGTTATTTTTAATGTCTGAATTTTGGAAATCTGTTCCGGAATATTCTGCAAGGTTTTTTCAGGTTTTCAAAATGACTCAAGATAGGATATCTCTGTAATAATTAATGAATTAAACAAAAAACGATCCTGATGTATCGTACAAATGTAAAAAAGACAAGCGTTAACGCGAACGGGCCCCTCACCTGCCTTGTTCTCTCATCGGAACAACGCGACGACTCCCAGGCCGACGGTGGCACATCGCCTGACTGACATCACGAGCGATCGGAGCGGCACGCGTGCACGCACTTTTTTCGCCGAGCAGCGATTCGCGGAAACTGCGTTTCAGGAGCCCGCGACGACGACGCGGCGTTCGTCTGCAATCGCACGCGCGATTCGCGTCGCGACGCGCGTGCGCGATAAATCCCCCTCCGCCGTTTAATTGACGCCCGACTCCGATCACTTTCCCTCCTCCTCGCGTGATCGAGCCCTTCCTTTCGTTCCGCCGTGCTACCTTTCCCGTCTTCGCGATCGTCATTGGCAGCGCTCTTACGATCGAGATCTTTCCAGGAAAGGACGCGTATTAGCGTGTATATATCACTGTTAAAAGTAAAAAATAGAGAGAAATGGAAGCGAAAAAAAGTAGGGACATAGGATATAAAATAATGTTCCACATGTATGTATATAAATAAAATTGTATTATAATTGTACGGAATATACACGGACTGACCGCTTTGTTGACAGGATTAGTGAATTAAATTAATGCATTAGTGACAGTTTAAGTTTTGACCTGATTCTCCAATTTGATCTCAATCTAATGACGAGTCACAAAATTAGAAACGTTGATGGAAGTTCGACGGTTGCGTTGGCTGGGCCGTCGAATAAACCATCCCCGGTGGTTGCTGATGGGTCATCGCGTGGCTCTGGTGCTGATGGAACTCAGGAGCACCATGCGGCCCGTTCAGTCTCACCCGTTTCGCATTCTGCCCGTGATTGTGATCGCCGTTACCTTGCTGCTGTTGGGTCTGCTGTTGCTGTTTCACGAATACTCGGATGAGCGACAAGGCGATGTTCAAAATATCAGTTCAATCCTCAACTACCATATAGCGACGGAGCTTAGACAGCGGCAAAGTGGGCTTCACTCGCCTTGCCACTGCGGCGGTCATACGGGGCCGTTTGAACAATCGAAACCATATTTTTTAAAAATGTAGAAGATACATAATTATAAATAGATACTTATTTGGATATTACAAACTATGTCTGTATTAAAGTAGTTGCGGTTATCTTATTATAGTAGTTGCGGCTTAAACCATATAAAGTATATCATACAAATGCTCTCAATATATTTCGGAAGTAATTACCGTTTGTTGCTGATTTTGCCTCGCTTTATTTTCAGTCTTTTCTTCAGTATCATCATCTGTGAGAAATTCTCTCTTGGGATAAGGGATAGGGCATCCAGCAAATATGCTAAGATTTTCATGGTAAATGCAAATTTAGTAAAATTACGAAAAAATATTAAATTATCGCGATGTAAAAATGTAAAAATATATAGATTCATACTCCTGTGTTGGCAGTGGCTCCTCTTGGAAGTAGGCATCCTGCATAGAATGCTCTGACGTAATACGCTTGTTTGGATCCATCATCAGTAGTTTTTGTAACTAAAACAGTAACATGATAAAAATCATGCTTGCCCGATATGCTACTAAACTCGTATATTTCTTTTTTCTATGTCATACCAAATTAAATGCCTTGCTATCGGGTTTGATCTTATGCCGATCCATATACTTAGTAAGTGAACAATTTGCGTAACTGAAAGTAAAACAAAATCGATATTTTTTAAAGATTTCAAATAAAACATCGATAGATGTTTTGAACTGACAAACTCACTTGGATCTCTTAAAATCTCTGAGTAATGTGGGATGCTCTGGCATCTTTTTGATATCCTCCCAATCTTTCTCCAATGGGAATCCCATCACATTGAATATCCTAAATAAAAATTAAAGAGAGGAAAACTTGTGTCATTTGCCACATTATACAAAGCAAATACGAAATTGTGTTATATTCTCACCTATCTAGCTGATCATGATGGTATGGATTGCTAGTTTTAATATCTTCTTGTCTACAATGAAATATAGGTTCGGATGTTAAAAGTTCCGCGAATATGCAGCCGATAGCCCATATATCTGCAGCGGTAGAAAGAAAATATTTAGTACAATTTTTTTACAAGCTAAGAAATTTTAGATTACGCGGTAAAAGATAGCTGTAGACGCAAACCTATAGCTTTCGTGTAATGTCTGGCACCTAGAAGTAATTCCGGAGCTCTATACCAAAATGTAACTACAACAGGATCTAAATCTGCTAAAGGTTTAAGAGGAGCATTGAATAATCTAGCAAAGCCCATGTCGGCAATTTTCACACGTCCCCGCTCATTTCCTTCACCCATTACTAAAATATTTGCCGGTTTCTGAAATAAAGAAAGGTGACATTTTATTTACATGCTCTGCAAACATGATAGAAATAGGAAAACGAAAACAATAATGTCAACAATTACCAAATCTCTATGGAGTACCCAGTTGGAATGTAAATAATGAATACCATCTAAAATTTGATATAATAAGGATTTGACCATGCCTTTTGGTACCATTACTGGCTTCTTATTGGCTTTTGCTGCTCTATGAAATTTAATTATATGCTGCAAATAGCATATTTAAGTATATTATTATAACAATATATTGTGTGCTTAAAAATATTTTATTTTCAAATTAGAATTATAAACATACCCATAGATCATGCTCAGCAAAGTCGAACAGCAACCAAACTTTACGATCGTTATGCGAGAGAAAAACACGAATAAGAGTAATGACATTGACATGCTTTAATTCCCTGAGTAACTGGAATAGAAGAAAATAAATTAAGTATCTCCATTGCTCATTGCAGACAAATGTTTCAGCATCATTTAAGAGTAACGGGGTAACTTACAGCAATTTCTCGACATGCAGACATTGAAAGTCCTGTACCCTCAATTTGCTTAAGGCCAAAGTCTTTTGTATCAGGCCGAGACTTTAGTTCGCTATCTGAAACACTATTTTCAACATTTGTACATTAAATTTACAGAGAATAGGATGTTTCTCGTAAAATAATATAATTGATTTATTTAATCAATAAATATCCTGATTGTATTAATTGATATACACAGATATGTAACGAGACAATAATCAGACAATATTGATCAAGTCTTTTATAAAAAAAAAAAAAAATAACAGATGTGTCAAAATAATTAGTGCGAGTTAACTTATGCTTGTGCTTACATTACCCATTTAGATCTTAATGTAGCACTTTGATTGAAAATTATAGCAATTATATTGACAAAAAAAATTGAAAATCATTGTATTAGACAAATGGGATAAGCCAAATCAGGAATTAAACAATCGCATTGTAGGAAAAATGCAAACTCGACGAGCTAGACGGTGAATAAGTGCACTTTTGTATTCGAGAAATCTTGAATAAAAGACGATCGATAGAATAGGAACAGCAGGTGCTTTTACACGGAAGGAAATTCGGCCTCAACGTAAATTCAGAGACGCTTCGGAGAATGAGTCGATATCTTGTATTAATCTACGGCAACCGCACGATTGGGCCGTGAAACGTAAAATAATCCAAACGCACATGAAATCAAGGAAGTTCCGCAAAGTAATCACAAGTCAGGTTAGAGAGACTAACCCTTCTTTCCTACGGGCTTTGTATACGTGCCCGTAAGTACCTCTTCCGACCTTGCAACCCTCGAACTCGAACAGATCCTCGACCTTCGTGCGGTCTTTCTGCGTCTTCATCTTAAATTCATAATCCATCATGTTTAGCGTTGTCAGAACAATTATCAACTATAAACAAACATTTTTATCAAGCGTGTGCATAAGCACGAGCTCTGAAAGCACACTACGCCGACGTCGCCGACTACACACGTCAGATCAGACCATCGGACCGTTGGAGTTCGGAGTCAGTAGAGAGTGTAGAGACGGTGCTGCTGGCAGTCGAGTAGCGGCAAGTAGCGGTGCCATTTCTTTGCACATGCGCATCGACAGCGGGCATTTATTCTGAAAATTATAATAGTACAAATAGTACAATAAATGAATTATGGAAAATTCATCCTTTTTTAAATTAAACATTCTTTTCTTGATTATTTAAATAATTCGCATATTGAAATTATTTATTTATAAATTGACTTTAATTTTTTGTTTATCTAACTTCTAATCCGCGACATTCATCAAAACTTTTTGCTATACAAAAGTTTAAATATAGCGTATTTTATGTAATAATATGTGTATATTATTGAATTGTTGCTGAAAAGCCGCGCATGCGCAAAAAAGTGGCAATATCATTGGCAACATATTGGAAATTTGTAGTTTAACTTTCTGCACCTATACTATATGAAAAATGTTCATCAATTATATTTGAAGCATTTATATACCTATATATATATATATATATATAATTGAGATTGGAAAATTACAAATTAAAGATTAGAATGAATTTATCCAATTATATAACTTTAATCTTAATCCGTTTCATTTTGATTAGTTGAATTCTGCAAGGCATATATAGATTTAAGAGCGGTGCTCAAATTTTACTCGAAAAATTCTAAACTACGATAAGGAATAACTATCATAATTTCATATTTTAAAAAATGTATATATACTGGTCTAAAAAATTAAAGAATCACCTGTTCTATCTTCTCAAAATAGGCAAATTTTAAGATAGAACAATTTCGTCAAAAATGATTATAATGGAATTTTTAAAAAAGCATTTTACAGCTTGAAATCTCCACTTTTCAAGTTGATATTTTAGAAAACAATTAACTGACTTTCTTCGGAGTTGCATTGATACAAATGGAGATGTGACAAT